ATGGACCATGGACGTCAGGGGGCAGTTATCCAGAGATGAAGTCTGTCTGTTGATGACCATCGGGTGTCAGTGAGCAGCCATCACTGGATCATCATCAGGTAAATGATCATGTCCACGTGATTAACCTTCAACACGTCATCGTTCACCTTCACCTAGACATGTGGGTAATGATCAGGACCAACAGACAGGGGGAGACATTGAGCTCTTGTTAATGTCAATGAGGTCATTGTCATTTATTTGAAGTGACCCTGACATCGCCACCTGCTGGTGGCAGTGAGAGGGCACAAATGGAAAATGTCAGTGATTGGGCCGTTAGTACTTCAGGTGTTAATGTTAGAACAGCTTGACCTTTGACCTTTTCCCCTTTTTAAAGGTTAATATTAATATAAATGTGGGTTTTTTTTCTGGTTTTTTTTCTCTGCCACTGGAGTTTTGGGACACAGTGTTGGCCAACCTGAGAAAAAGATTTGAATTTGAGTTTGTTTTTGTTTTAGTGACACATGGTGGAGGCCAATGGGTAATGACCAGGTGTGTGTTGGCAAGAATCTGGATCGTTGTTTCTCAAATGACGGGTTATGACCCACAATGAGTTAAAAAGCTACATTTGAGCCTAGAGGGCGCTGTTTAAACTTAAAAAGTGAACAGTGGGCAGCCGTGGTCGGCGCCCGGGGAGCAGTGCTTGAGGACGATGCCATGCTCAGTGCATCTCAGTGGCAACCTGGCAGTTGGTGGATTCGAACCTGGGGCCTTCCGGACCGAAGTCCGCCTCCTTCACCACTAGGCCACAGCTGTGTTTCAGTGAGACTGTCTGTCCAGCCTGGGTCCTGACCCCGTCCAGGTTAGTGGACCACATCACACCAGTCCTTACATCACGGACTGGATCTGTGTGTGTAAAAGGATAGATTTAAATCCTATTACTGGTCTACATGACACTGGTCTAGGACCTGGAGGAACCTCACCAGCCCTGACCTTAATGGTTCTGTGGTTGGTCCACACTGACCTTGTCATGTGACAGTCAGTCCTGTCAGTGGTCTCTGTCCAGACCATCATGTGATCCAGGTTTGAGGGTCGTCTCTGTGAGTGTCGCTCCTGTCTATTTAAAGCCAGTAGATTAATTCAAGCGCTCGCTGCAGAAGCTTAGCTGTGAGAGGAACGGCCCACGTTCAGATAAGTGCCTGTATCAAGGGGGGGGGGGGGGGGGGGGGGGTTAGAGCGCTGGGCTGGCCAACAGTGTAATAAAAAATGTTAGTGATAATGATTTGAATGATTGGATTCTGATGATGTGTTAAAGATTTCAGGGCTGAGCCTGGCGTCTTCTGCCGACTCCTGACTCCAGTTGATGGAGAGGAATCCTCTGGTGCGTGAGGAACCCCCACTGAGAACTTCT